TGCCATGGGGGCAGGACTGTCCCAGAGCCCGGAACCTATTCTGACTCTCAGTTTCTGTTCTGTGTCTTGTGAACCCAGAGCAGTCAGCTGATTACTGTTGGCCTGGGAAAAATTCACCCATCAGAGGGTTCCGCATCATGAACTTGCTTCAGCATGTGACAAGTTCAGGGTGCACTGGCAGGGAAGGCAGATGAGGTGGCTAGGGGAGTGGAATCCCTCCTCCCACCCCTTCAGCAGTGAAGAGGAAAGGTGACCAGAAGGACCTGCTCCTGACATTAAGTGCTTGGAGCTGCCAGGTTGTTTGGGGTTAGGAAATAGCCTGGCTTTGCTAAGTCCGCTTGTCTAGACTGGTACCTGGATCCTGGCCTGTACAGGTTGTACAGAGCTCTGGGAGTGTACACCAGCCACCCAAGGACACCTCTGGAAGGGGCCTGAGGGCCAGAATGCCAGCCTCCACCCAGGCTGCACATGGCATCTCCCCAAGGGCCAGGGTGTGTCCCTAGCGGGTGGGTGAGGAAAACACAGGTTTCGAACGTCAGTGCCAGGTGGCTACACCGTGGCGCCACCGTGGCCCCTTCTGTCCCTGCCTGCCAGCAAGCCCAAGGGCCGTCTTGGGGTCCCTGGGTATAGAGACATCTTAGAGGGGCTCTCCTTGGGAGGGCAGCCCATCCTCACCACCAGGAGTCACCACTCTGGGGACTCGTGTCCCGTAGCCTTGGTCTATGGCCAGAACTCCAGGAGAGGGCCATCTGCAGCTACTGGTTTCCCCTCTAGGAAGGTCACATAGCTGGGCCTGTTCACTGTGCAGCTGGGGGGCTGAGAGAATGAGTCACCAACTGCATCCCCATTTGAAGAAACACAGCTAGCATGGAGGGCATCTCTGCCCAGCTGAGCCCACTGCAGCCCTGCCTGCTCAGGCCACAAGGGTGGTGGTGGGAAGTAGCCGGAGTGGGGGTGTCGCAGTGGTAAAGCACCCACCTGTGAGTGCAGTGACTGCCGAGTCAGGAAGCAGCCTCTGCTGAGTGTTTTCCCCTGGCGTCTGTCATTGCAGCACAGCTCCAGCTTCCTACTTGGCAGCAGAGCTGGCTCTTTCCCTCACCTCCACCCAGCTGCCCTTGAGGCCCGAGCTGGAGTGCTCTGCTCAGTACTCAGCCATCACTGCCTCACCAGGCTTCTGAGTAGCCGTTATGTGCAGCTGAGGCCAAGCAGAGGCAGAGGAGGGAGAGAAGGGAGGAGACTCAGTCAGGAAGATAAAACAGGAGAGTCCACTTGATGGTGTGGCCCAGGACCATGGAAGGTCAGCCAAGGAAGGGGAGGTCTAAAAGGAGCATCTGAGGTCTCAAAGGAGCATCTGAGCCCTGGCTGAGTGGCTCAGTTGGTCAGAGCATTGTCCTGATACACCACAAAGTTGCAGGTTGGGCTCTGGCTGGTGTAGCTCAGTGGATTGAGCACGGGCCTGCAAACCAAAAGATCGTAGTTTGATTCCCCGCCAGGGCACATGCCTAGGGTGCAGGCCAGTTCCCAGCATGGGATGCACCAGAAGCAACCACACATTGATATTTCTCTCCTTCTCTTCCCTTCTAAAGATAAATAAATAAAATAAAAAGTTGCAGGTTGGATCTCCAGTCAGGGCATATACAAGAACCAACCAATGAATGCATCAATAAGTAGAACAACAAATCGATGTTTTTATCTCTTTCTTTCTCTCCCTTTCTCACACTTTCCTTCTCTCTCTAAAATAAATAAAATAAATGAATATTTAACTAAAAGGAGCATTGGAGGGATGTAAGAAATCTTTAGTAAGGAGAGCAGACAGAATGCTTAACCAGGAACACAGGGAGGCACGAGAGAGGAGGGCCATTGCTTTGGGGCCCCACTGAAGTGTGCACTTGGGAGGTTTCCAAGTGACGTGGCAGCCCAGAGGTGGTGCACGTAAGCTTCCTGCTTTGGATCCCAAATTTGACTCTTACCAGGTCGGGGGGTGTCCCTTAACTTCCCTAATTCTAAAGTTTTGTACCCATTAAGAGAGGGTGATAAGGGACACCTACCTTGTTAAGGTTGTTTTGAGGGTTTTTAAGACAAAATACAGAGCAGGTATTACAAATAATTGCTGTTGTAACAATGCTGTTATATTATAATAGTACATTATTATAGCTGCACTATTATGTATCACCGCTTAGTACTAAGGGGAGTCCTCTGATCACACCACTCCGGGGCACCGCGGGTGGGGAGATTTCTGGCAGGTGTGCCAGCTTTGGGAGGAGGAAGGGAAGGAAGTGGCTTAACGGATCACATGATCAGTGTTAACATTAAAAATAATTCGTGTCCACAGGGAAACCCTCTCTTCTCTTGTGCTTGCTGTTCTTTCGTAACCACTGTTGCCAGGATGTTAATGTTTTGGGTGTCATTGGTCAGGGTCCTCCCCCCGTGTTCCCTTCAGAGAGTCGTCATCTGACATAAATACGCAAAGCCGAAACACACTCTGCCTATTTCAGCACTTCCGTTGGTCAAAAGACAACGTGGCTAAGAAGTTCAATGACAAACTGGGAAAACATACCTATAGTATGTGAACAAACTGATTGTCTTGATATATAAAGAGCTCATTCTAAATCTATATTAAAAGGTTAACATCCTCTCAGGAACAAAGGACAAACGAGGACTATAAATGATACTAAAAATTATATAACAGTGTTCAAAATCATTAGTAAGAAAATTCTGTGTTTTAAATTTCTTTTTTTTACTCATGAGAAGTTTAATTTGTATTTTTTAAGATTTTAGTTATTTATTTTTAGAGATGGGGGAAGGGAGGGAAAAGGAGAGGGAAATGTCACTGTGTGGTTGCCACTTGAGTGCCCCCTATTGGGGTATCTGGGCCACAACCTAGGCATGTGCCCTGATTGGGAATCAAACCTGTGACCCTTTGTTCCGCAGTCTGGCACCCAATCTACTGAACCACACCAGCCACGGCAGAAAGTTCGAATGTACATGGCGTTGTAGAGCAGAGTACAATGAAGCACACACTTCCGTCTTGCAACCTCAGCAATGGTCCATTCCTGACCGCTTTTCCTTACTTTCTGCCTCTACCCACCTTCCAGATTATTTGGAAGCACGTATCAGTCACTAATTCATTTCATTCATATACACAAAGAAATAGGTTTTGTAACACCAGGATGTTGGTGAAGTGGCAAATATTAAAAATAATGATAATGCAGGCTTCAGCCAGGATGGAGGCATAGGTGGAAACATTGTGTCTTCTCACACAACCAAGTTTAAAGACAACAAAGTTTTAGTAACAAACACAACCAAAACACAGAAAATTGTATATGGAAGTCTGACAACAACAAACCCTTCAGCCAGATGGATAAGAGGGGCGGAGCCAGCAGCTGGAGGAGCGGGGTAGCACAGGAAAACTCGACCAGACTGACCCTGGCGCATGGGCTGCGCACTGGCCGCGGTTGGCAGATCCTAGGCATGGGGTTGCGACAGGCAGACCCAGAGAGGACGCAAGGCAGCAGGCTGACCAAGGTCACACATTTTCGCGCAGATAAACCAGCCAAGCGTTGAGACAGACTGTGCAGGCCCCAGAGGCAGGAAGCAGCAGAGGGGACCGATATTGCCCCTCTTTGGCCCCGCCCCCACATACAGTGTCACAACCCAGCACCTGGGTTGCCCCACGCTGGTGAACATCTAGGGCTCCACCCCTCATACGGAACAGGCGCAAACAGACCAAAACATGGCTCAAGAAGAACTCAAAGCCCCAGAGCCCATAACTCCAAGCAACCAAGAAATAGCCAAACTTTCAGATGCATAGTTCAAAACACTGGTGATCAGGATGCTCACAGAACTGGTTGCTTTTAGTCACAAATTAGAGGAACATATGAAGGCTACACTAATTGAAATGAAGGGAAATGCACAGGAAACTAGTAGTGATCGAAAGGAAACTGGGACTCAATCAAGGGAGTAGAACAGAAGGAAGAAAAAAATGACTGAACAGAAAAATATGAAGAAACAAGAATTCAAAAAAATGAGGAGAGACTTAGGAACCTTCAGGACATCTTTAAACGCTCCAACATCCGAATTATAGGGGTACCAGAAGGGGAAGAGGAACAGCCACAAGAGGAACACTTATTTGAGCAAATAATGAAGGAAAACTTCCCGAATCTGGCAAAGGAAATAGACTTCCAGGAAATCCAGGAAGCTCAGAGAGTCCCAAAGAAGTAGGACCCAAGAAGAAACACACCAAGGCACATCATCATTACATTAGCCAAGATTAAAATGAAGGAGAGAATCCTAGAAGCAGCAAGAGCTAAGGAGACAGTCACCTACAAAGGAGTTCCCATCAGAATGTCAGTGGATTTCTCAAAAGAGACCTTACAGGTAAGAACGGGCTGGAAAGAAGTATTCCAAGTCATGAAATCCAAAGACCTACATCCAAGATTGCTCTATCCAGCAAAGCTTTCATTTAGAATGGAAGGGCAGATAAAGTGCTTCTCAGATAAGGTCAAGTTAAAGGAGTTCATCATCACTAAGCCCTTATTATATGAAACGTTAAAGGGACTTATCTTAGAAAAAGAAGATAAAAAAGATGAACGGTGAAAGGACAGCAAACTCACAGTTATTAACAACCACACCTAAAACAAAAGTAAACTAAAAGGACAGCTAGATCAGGAGCGGAAACACAGAAATGAAGATGTCATGGAGGGTTAGCAACAGGGGGGTGGGAGGAGGAGAAGGGAGGAGAAGGTACAGAAAATAAGTAGCATAGATGGTAGGTATAAAATAGATAGGGGGAGGGCAAGAATAGTATGGGAAATGTAGAATCTAAAGAATTTGAGACAAGTGGTCATAAACTAAAGGGGGGAATGGTAGGGGTGGGGAGGTGCAGGGTGGAGGGGAATGAAGGGAATAGAACAACTGTAATGACATAATCAATAAAATAAAAATTTTAAAAAAGCTGACCAACAACAACAAAAAAAATGTTATTGTCCTTATAATGGTCAGTCTCAGAAGCCAGACTCATACTAACTTTTTTCACCAGAAAATTCAGGTTCAGGATAGGATCATCATAGATATGAAGCACAAAGTTTTTAATTTGTTTTTTTTTATTATTTATTTATTTATAATATATTTTACTGATTATGCCATTACAGTTGTTCTATTTCCCCCCTTCATTCCCCTCCACCCTGCACACCCCCTCCCCCACCATCTCCCCCCTTTAGTTTATGACCACATGTCTCAAGTTCTTTAGATTCTATATTTCCCATACTATTCTTACCCTCCCCCCTATCTATTTTCTACCTACCGTCTATGCTACTTATTTTCTGTACCTTCTCCCCTCTTCTTCTCCCACTCCCGTTTGCTAACCCTCCACGTGATCTTCATTACTATGGTTTACTCCTGATCTAGCTGTCCTCTTAGTTTGCTTTTGTTTTAGGTGTGGTTGTTAATAACTGTGAGTTTGCTGTCCTTTCACCGTTCATCTTTTTTATCTTCTTTTTCTTAGATAAGTCCCTTTAACATTTCATATAATAAGGGCTCGGTGATGATGAACTCCTTGAATTTTGACCTTATCTGAGAAGCACTTTTTCTGCCCTTCCATTCTAAATGAAAGCTTTGCTGGATAGAGCAATCTTGGATGTAGGTCTTTGGATTTCATGACTTGGAATACTTCTTTCCAGCCCATTCTTGCCTGTAAGGTCTCTTTTGAGAAATCCGCTGACAGTCTGATGGGAACTCCTTTGTAGGTGACTTTCCCCTTATCTCTTGCTGCTTCTAGGATTCTCTTCTTCATTTTAATCTTGGCTAATGTAATGATGATGTGCCTTGGTGTGTTTCTGCTTGGGTCCAACTTTGGGACTCTCTGAGCTTCCTGGATTTCCTGGAAGTCTATTTCCTTGGCCAGATTGGGGAAATTCTCCTTTATCGTTTGTTCAAATAAGTTTTCCACTTGTGGCTGTTCCTCTTCCCCTTGTGGTATTTCTATAATTTGGATGTTGGAGAGTTTAAAGATGTCCTGAAGGTTCCTAAGTCTCTCCTCATTTTTTTTGAATTCTTGTTTCTTCATATTTTTCTGTTCAGTCATTTTTTCTTCCTTCTGGTCCACTCCCTTGATTTGAGTCCCAGTTTCCTTTCCATCACTATTGGTTTCCTGTGCATTTCCCTTCATTTCAATTAGTGTAGCCTTCATATGTTCCTCTAATTTGTGACTAAAAGCAACCAGTTCTGTGAGCATCCTGATCACCAGTGTTTTGAACTGTGCATCTGAAAGTTTGGCTATTTCTTCATCGCTTAGATTTATTGGCTCTGGGGCTCTGAGTTGTTCTTGAGCCATGTTTTGATCTGTTTGTGCCTCTTACGTATGAGGAGTGGAGCCTTAGGTGTTCACTGGGGTAGGGCCACCCAGGCCGCTGGTTTGTGACGCTGCATGTGGGGGCAGGGTCAGAGAGGGACAATAGCGGGTTGCCTCTGCCGCTTCCCGCCGCTGGGGCCTGCGTGGTCCATCTCACTGCTTGCTCCTTCATCGGTTTATGGTTTATCTGCGCACAAATGTGTGACCTCTGTCAGCCCTCAGCTGGTCCACCCGCTACTCCACACCTGGGATCTGCCCACGGCTGCCAGCACACCTGGGTCGTGCATCCAGGTTGGTCCAGTGGATCTTTCCTGCCCGACCCTGCTCTGCTGCTGGCTCTGCCCCTCTTACCGGTATGGGTAAAGGGTTCGTTGTTGTCGGACTTCCATATAGTTCAATTTTCTGTGGTTTGGCTGAGTTTTTGTTGCTAAAACTTTGTTGTTTTTAAACTTGGTTGTGCGAGAAGGCAAAGTGTTTCCACCTATGCCTCCATTTTGGCGGAAGTTTCTTTTTCCAAAGTTTTAAATTTGGATGATGTCTCTCACTCATTTTTTCCCAGTTTTATTGAGATGTAATTACATAACACATCGTATTAGTAAAACATGGCACCACACAATAATTTGATATATGCCTTACTCATATTTAATTGTTGGGGAAGTAGGCAGAACTGATGAGGAGCAGGTGTGTGGCCAAGTTCAAACGACCTCTGTTCAGCAACAGTGGGTTAGCCTGCAGGCAGCTATCACGTCTCTCAAGTTTGCTAACACCCAAAGTGATCACAGACAAACAGGGGCGGGGAGCATAGATTAAGTCCATGTAAACAGTCTAAATTCAACAGAACAGGCGGCATAGCCATTCAGGGAGGCATCCTTGTAGTGTGGGTGGAAACCTTTTCGACCTGGTTGTGGGACTCTTGAGGTTCTAGAGAGAAGCTCTGACTGGCCATTGGGGGATGTACTTGGCCTCCTGTCTGTTTGAATCCATGATTGCATTATCTTAGTTTACTAGGTCTGGGTTTGTGTGGAATGCACTTACGTGGCGTGGGCCCAGAATGAGCTTCGGTGAGATGCAGAAGAGTGGCCGTGCTGGGAGGGAGGCCTGAGCCTTCTTTGCCGTTGGCGTTCCCAGGGAGTGATCTCGGGGCAAAACCGTGGAAAGGGAAAGCCCTCTTTGCACTTAGGAATTCAGAAGCGGAAGTCCCTTGCCAGCCCTGAGGGAGCTGTAGAGTTCTGCTGTGACACCCTTCAGAAATCTCTCAGAACGAAAAGCGGCTTTTGCTGACATCTGACCCTTCTGAGATGCTGATATTCTTATTTATAAAAGTGACTCTCTCATCCCCAAATAGATTCTTATATCTACCTGGCTTGCTCCCTTTGAGGGCTGCCTGAGTCTCCCACTTTGCTCGCTGGTGTCTCGGTGTAATCCTGTCAAGACTGGAAGGCCCCCGGCCTGTGCTGGAGTGGAGAGGAGGGGCACCTGCCAGCCAGGAGGTCCAGCAGCTCTGTCCTTACGTCTGGGGTCCGAATTCTGCATTGCACTCCTCCCCTGCCCTTACCAGCCTCAGTTCCTGAAGGAAAAACTTTCAATTAGTAATAATTATCCTCTGGACTAACTGCCCTATAAATTAGGGGAGGACAGCAGATAAGAAAAAGTGCCTCTTTCTTCCCTCCTCTGTCCCTTCTCTCAGCCGAAGTCACCTTGCTTCTTGTTTTGCAGCTGCCCAACATGTTTGGTGACCTTCGGTCCACGTTTATTGCCTTGATGATTGGGTCCTATGCCTCCTCAGCAGTCACCTTCCCAGGAATCAAGGTGAGGTGTGGCCAGCACATTTATTTTGTACTAGTGTCTGAACAGAGGCTTCTCTCGGGGCTCCTTCTGCCCTCTCTGAAGAGGGACGTAACTGGGTGCTGGGCTGGCCCCTCCCACCTCCCCCACCCTTCCTCACCTGGTGGGTGCACCCGGGCACCATGGGAGGAAGAATAGAATCCCACTGGGCCATGGGGGATGGAAAATTCAAGCATGTCACTACAGGGTGTCACCGCAGGCCACTTCTGCATTTCGGAGCAGGGTAAAGAACGCTGGTGGGTGAGTTTGTCCTTGAGCCTGAGTGCAGCCCGTCTCCCCACCCCCAGGTCTGTTGTTGTTGGGCTGTCGCTTGCCACTAGCCCCAGCGCTGCTCTTGGCCAAGTTGGTTCAGCTGTTTCCCTCCCAGGCAGGATCCTGAGCCCATGGAAGTCACACAGGGTCACAGTTCAACATCTCACAGTCCATCAGCCCCGGTTCCTACTCCAAATCCCATTGCTCCTACCAGGGCTTCAGAAGGGGCTTCCCTCTCCCCTGGCACCCACCCCAAGTAAAATTCCCTTTCCTGAGGTGTGTGGTGGGGAGGCCATAGATGAGGAGGAGTCACAGGTGTGGGCTGGTCACCTGGGAATCGAGGTACTTGGAGTGTCTAGGGCCGGGCATCTTGTGGACTTACAGGGATTGTCACACTCCTTGGTGTGTAGAGACGTCTGTATGTGCCACCTCCTCCTGTCTCCTAGCTGCTGCGGGTCCCCCCCCGGGGAGCTGGGCAGCTTCTGCCAGTACCCTGGGGACTGTGGTACCGGAAATATATTGTAGTAGTGACAGTAATAGCTGCCATGCTTACGCTCAGCAGGCTTCCCCCGCCACTGAGCACTCTTCTCGGGTTACACCTGCCAACCCCTGCCACCATACCATAAGGACACGTCACTGTTACACCCATGTCACGGAGGAGGAAAGGGAGACAGCTACCTGTTCGTTCGTCATGTATTTTTCGCACCTGTTCTGGGTACTCTTCATGGTGCTGGAGAAGCATCAGTGGGCAAGGCTAGCAGGTTCCTGTTCTCAGGGAGCTAAACTAACTGTGGACGAGTGAACGGATCAAGATGTCAGTGTGTGTATCTATTCACTTGAGCCAGTGATATGACAGTCATGGCATAGTCAGGGAAGGCGTCTCTGAGGAAGTGACAGCTGGTGCCAGAGGAGGCATAGGGGGCTAATGACAGGACAGGGTGAGTTGGGATAATCAGGATACAGAGTGATGACCAAACTCCACAGCTGATGGAGCTGCGCCTCCTCACACAGCTCAGCACAGGAGAACAGGGCTGCTGGAGACCCCGCTGCGCCCCACCCTGGCCTCCCCGTGCTGACTCGGCCCCGGGCCTGCCTTTCAGGTCATCTACGACTTTGGTGCTCCCTTCATCACCATCCTCGTGGTCTGGGCCGGCTGCTCTGGGCTAGTTTTCCTCAACTGCTTCTTCAACTGGCCTCTAGAGCCTTTCCCAGGGCCAGAGGACATGGATTACTCGTAAGTGGTTGTGCCGTCTGTCCCCACCCCACCCCGGTTTATGGTCCCGGAAGCACTGACAGGCACTTTCCTGTGGCCTCCAGGGTGAAGATCAAGTTCAGTTGGCTGGGCTTTGACCACAAGATCACAGGGAAGCAGTTCTACAAGCAGGTGACTACGGTGGGGCGCCGCCTCAGTGTGGGTAGCTCCATGAGGAGTGCCAAGGAGCAGGCAGCCCTGCAGGAGGGCCACAAGCTGTGCCTGTCCACCGTCGACCTGGAGGTGAAGTGCCAGCCAGACGCTGCAGGTACCTACCACGAGGCCCTCACCTGCCAGGCCTGCCTCACACACACACTCACCCCCACTCACACCCCCAAGACAGGGAGGGACAGCCGATCCAGCCCTGGAAGCCCTGGCCCAGGCTGAGGACTTTGTGAGTCTTATCTCAGTTCCCACTTCCTCCCGAAAGGGCACACAGCACCATCCATCCTGTGTACAGCAGATAAGCACATTAAGGCTCAGAGAGAGCCAGGGATTCACCCAACTTGAGTTACACAGCTGGGTGGCCCCACCTGTAGCACCCACACCTTTAACCTCACACAGAGCCCATCTCTGCATCCAGCATGGAGTGATTAAGTCAACAAATCAACTGCCTCTCCCCATGCACGGGGCCCCTGAATGGCAGAGATGCTGCCCCTGAACACCTGTGGCCTTCTCCCCACAGCAGCCCCGTCCTTCATGCAGAGCATATTCAGCCCCATCCTGCTGCTCAGCCTCGTCACCATGTGCATCACGCAGCTGCGGCTCATTTTCTACATGGGCGCCATGAACAACATCCTCAAGTTCCTGGTCAGTGGCGACCAGGGCAAAGGTTGGTGACCCCTGGACCTTGGTGCTAGCCCCGTAGGGAGGCCCCCTACCAGTGGTGGTCATTTCTGCCACCTGAGGTCAAGCCGACTGCCTAGCTGGCTGAATGTATTAGCCTGGGCTGGGCCAGCAGGGCCGTGAAATGACAGAGTCCAGGAGACCTGTTCCTTGCCAGAGCCATTGCATCCCAGCCGGCCCCAGCCACTCTTTCACATCCCCATTAGAGTTTCCCGGGATAGGAGGGGAGGGTGGGGAGGACTAAAATAACTACATGTATTTGGTGTGTGAGGTGTATGTTTTTCATTGCCCAAGGGGCTGGGTGATGCGTTTGAGTGAAAACACTGCGAGGAACAGAGTGCTCCGCCTAAGAGCCCATCGAAGGACAGCCGATCCCGCCCCACCCCACCCCAGCAGCCCCCTGGGAAACCACAGGGCTGCTGCGTGGAGAGCCCGGGTGCCAAGGGGGCCTGGGCCATCTGTGCTGGGGATGCTAAGGCAATTGGACTGGCGCTGGGAACTGCGCCCTGAACTGGAAGCGGGGCCAGGGGAGGCTTCCTCACATGTGTAATCCAGCCGAGACTCGTCCAGTCTGGTAAACAGAACCGATAACCCACACACTGCTTTCCCAAAACAACACAGAAGGTCTTTGGCGGATGAGAGGCTCTGATTCTGCAGAGAAAGTCAGTACTTCCTCAGGGCTTGAGCTGAGTCAGCGTTAGTCATCCCTAGTGGGACAAACACGTTCGGTAAATGCTTTTTATTGGCAGTCTCACTGGTGTGCAACCTTCGTGTTAGTTTAATTGTTTTTCCCAAGGGACCGTAAGGAATCAGACACGGTTTTTAAAGGGGATGAGAAATCTAGCCTTAACAAAAGGGAAAGATGACAAAGGCACCCAGAAAACACTGGTTCCACTGTGAAGTGTGCCCTTGCAAAATTTCCTAATGAATGCTGACATAGTAAGGCTCTATTTTTTATGGGAAAAAATAACCTATTTAGCTTTGTTGCATCCACAGGAATGCTTTCTTTATGTAACAGTTATTAAAGTCTGTGGACCAAGCTTTGGGGAAAGCTGATCTGAACACCCTCTGTTAAAAGCTCCCGGGCCCAGGAAGGTGGAAGCCCTGTGTGGAGGAGGGTCCTCACCAGCCCTTCAAAAGCAAATCTCCCGCTGCTGAGTAGTGAGCTTTTACTCAGGTTCTCTGAGAAATCCTTTGCTGTCTAGGAGGAATGTTTTTTTCTAACTTTCCCACATTCAGAAAGTCAGTTTCAAAAAGTAGCGGAAGTTGGGCCAGGAAATTCCCTCTGCCGCTGACAGGGCATTGGTTTTCCCCATCCTGCTCCTGTGAGCTGTTGTGCACGACACCTGTGCCCAGGGGGACGGCGTCAGGGTCGGGGAGCTGGTGGGGGGCAGCAGACCAGTGCTCGCTGTCTCGGGGAAACCCTGTGGTGTCAGGTGCTCTGCTGGGAATTGGGGTGGGTCGTTTGACTTCTCTTGCCCTTGGAATGCAGCTCTGACAGAGCAGTGTTCCCGAAGGGCCACGCAGCAGTGAGTTCTGCCAGGTCTGCACCCACATTACTTCCCCATCACGGTCCTTGGCAAGCCACAGGCCTGATTCACCAGCCTGTTTGTGACCAGGGACCAGCCGCATGTGACTAAGGCCCTAGAAGATAGAGAAACGTCAGCGAGTGCCTGTGTTGGGCTCTCTCCCACCTCCGCTCCTAGAAACCGGACTCAAGCTCAGCCACCCGTGGGTGCTTGAGAGTGAGGTCTGGGTGGGAAATCAGGTTTTCCCTGGGCCCAGAGCTAGCCAGCCTGCCCCGTGTGCCGTCTCCCTATGACAACCTTTGAGATTTCTGCAGCTGACCTTGCTCCTTTCTGCTTTCTCCCTTTGCTCTCTTGATGCAGTCATGGCCACTGGTAAGCAGGGGGGACTGCCAGGGCACGTTGCAGCATCCCCTCCCAGCTAGTGTTTGTTCAGTGAAGAAATGCCCTGCCTTGAATTGGAAACAACCTTTTTAGGCAGAACTGTGGGTGGGGTGGGGTAGTCAGCTTTCAGTTTCTATTTGCCCCCCAAAATTCCATCTTAATAAGGCTCTTTCAAGATTGAAGCCCTTACGTCAGAGCCCCCGTGAGTGACGCCTCTCTGGTGTTTTTCTAGAGGCAGAGAACTAATGGCCAGTCTTGCACAAAGCCTCCGTCCCAGGCTTTGGTAATTTTGCGGTTCCCAAGTCATAGAGACTTCCTGGAGCTTTTGGGGGAAGTCATTGTGACATACTGGATTTCATTAGCTGTTTCTTGGAAGCAGGCAGGGGATTTGGAGAAGAGAATAGGGTGCCTACTCCTTGTTCCAGCTTTGAATTCAGGGGTTAAGGTCTCTGGGCTCCCCTCAAGATCCCCAATGACAAGAGGGGGTCTGGAAAGACCCCAGAAGGACCTGTGGGGCTTAGACTTTGTCCAGTGCCTGCACCTGGCCTCTTTCAGGAGCCCCCGCCATGACACAGCTCGTCTTCCTTCTCAGTTAGCCTCTACACCTCCATTTTCGGTGTGCTCCAGCTGCTCTGCCTGCTGACAGCCCCCATCATCGGCTACATCATGGACTGGAGGCTGAAGGAATGCGAAGATGCCTCTGAGGAGCCCGAGGAGAAAGACACCAACCAGTGCGTAGACAGGACTCGTGCCTGGCTCTCAGCCCCCAGAGAAAGAAGCCCCCGAGTCTAGTGTTAGGCAGGGGCAGGATTGGGAACGGGGTAGGTTTTAAAGTCAGCAGGAGAGGGGAAAGGGGGTTGTGCCGGAGGCTGATCTCCCAAGGGCTTTAAGACACTCAGCTCGGCACACCTTCAGGTCTACTGCCTTTGGTCCTTGATGGCAGTTCTTTGGGAGTATTGAGTTAGATGAAAGAACAGAGAAGTGAGAGGAAGGTCTGTGTGCAGACAATGGCTATCGAACCATTCTACTTCAGGGCTACATGCAGATCCTTAGTGTGAGCAGCTCAATGGGTGAACGATCTCAAAGCAGTGCTGCCTTGCCTACAAGGCTTGCTCCACTCGGTGGGAGTAGCAAAGTGCTCTACCTATAACAGGTGTTAATAGATGTGTCAGTAATCATGAGCATTAAACAAGGTGCTGGAGCCCAGCTTTATGTAAAGGTTGGGTTTTAAGATCAGAGGATGAGTTAAATGTTGTCTACTGTGACTCTGCCTTAGTATAATAAGCTGCTATTTATTTTATCAGGCCCTGTACCAAGCACTTAATGCACAATAGCTCAGTAAGCCTGTCAACACCTCAGTGAGGTGTGTACCAGTGTGATACCCATTTTACAGATGGGGAAACTGAAGCTAGGAGTTTGAGGAGCTTGCCTGAGATTCCTTGCACATCTCCCAGCACTTGGCATTCATTCTTGGATGTCATATAGTTGTCCATGGGGGTATCTGTGGGTGGTGAGACTAGAATCATTAATAGCGAATTCACAAGGAAATAATTATAGAGAATGCTTGTTTATCTAGGTCAGGTCCTACAGCCGAGAGGTTATTTGTGCCCATTCCAGTTCCATCTGCTGCATATTTGTTTCTACCTCACTCCCTCCTGCCACCCCAAGGGGAAATCCACTCACTCCCTTATTTGCCTTATTATCTGCCTTATCTTCAGCTCTCTGCAGGACTTCAGTGAAGCTGGAGCCAATGATGAAGTGAGGCTTTGCCGCATCCTAATTTGGGCATGCTCTGTTCTTTCCCACCGCATCATTTGCGCTCAGTCTTCACTAAAGCAGCACAGTGTGCTGATGACCGTCTTCTCGCATCTGATCTCTCCACTGAGGCTCCTGCTCAGCACTGTCAGCAGGGTGCCGTGGGAGGCCCCAGTGCTGGTCTAGTCCCAGCAGTCTCTACAACACGCTTGGGTGGTCTCTGAGTCTCGAGCTGTCCACAGGCTGTCACTCCCAGGGCCTGACTCCTTGGGGAGCCCACCCTCCTCCAGGAGCCCTCAGCTCCAGTGTGTGCTCTGTGTCTCTGCAGGGGCGAGAAGAAGAAGCGGGACCGGCAGATCCAGAAGATCACCAACGCCATGCGGGCTTTTGCCTTCACAAACGTGCTGCTCGTGGGCTTTGGGGTGACCTGCCTCATTCCCAACCTGCCCCTACAGGTGGGTGTGGGGAAAGAGAGAGGTCAGGTAGGATGAGGGGACAAGGTGACTGAAAGGTACATGATGTGCCATGAAAGCCATTGTCGAAGAGAACGGTGCCTCTTCATTCATTTAATTCAGCTGACCAACTACCCGGCCCCTGTCATTCACCAAGAGCCTCTTACCTGCCAGGCTTTGTGCTCGATCCCGGAAGGGAGCTGTAGATGGCACTGGGATCGCCTTTCACAGAAGATTCTTCCCGGTGAAGGCATATTCCTCTTGGTCTCCTGTGTATTTGCTTAGCACGAATACCACATTACACCATTTTCTAGAGCTTTGTTCTGTAGCTGTGTGGCTACTTGTTCTGCAGTGCTCAAACAGCTGAAATTTGATGTCCAAAGAGGTCAGGCTAATCTGGTGTTGATGGGAGCATCTGCCCCTCAAGTACAGGAGTGTCCATAGGGTCTCCACGTGGGACAGAGTGGGAAAAGATTGTGGTGGTCGCTTGGCATCTGGGTTCGAAGCTTAATTTCATTCCACAGATTTCTCATGCTTTTGAAACCTGACTTTTGACAGAGGATGTGAACGAGGCAGGTTTTGTCACCTGTCTGGCTCCACTCTCACTAGCCTCGAACCCCAAGATGATTAATTTTGAGGGACTTGAGTGATGGCATTGCTCCCAGTGGGTGGAGCCCAAGGTCAGGTGGTATCTTGGGCCAGGTCCAGGGGGAAACAAGAGTCCCTTCCTTTTTACAGGTGGCCATGTGTGTAGGTACATTGAATACTCAGGTGTGCACCACGCATGGATCCTAGCACGTGAATATGCCGACGCTGTGCGTGCAGACCAGAGTAAACCATTGGCAACTTGTCCCAGTTCCAGGTGGAGTGTTGTGACCTCCCTGGTGTCCTCCTGGCCTACTGGTGATTGCCCTCTGTGAGACTAAGAAACCCTTGCCTGGCCACCTTGTCCGGTCAAGGACAGTCATCTGCTTTTCTTTTCTTCTTCTTTTTTTTTTGAGTTCCCATGGAAAGAAAAGTGATAAAAAAGCAATGAGGCATTTGAAGTGGAAAGGGGGAGCCTGCCCAAGTCCATCCCTGCACATTCAGGCACAGCCCTTTTTCAACACCGCAGAGAGTAGCCCCTGTCCCTCCATCACCCACATTCCTGGGAACAGGTCCTGGCTGCTGAATAGATCGTCAGTGCTGTGCATGAAGGACAACAAAAGGGTCCTGGTGGCAAAGTGCACAACTCTCGTGCCTCAGATTATTAACAAGTGCTTCTCAGGACTTGCCAAGCCTGCTAGCAACAACTGCCTTTTATTTTTATTGATCTGAGAGAGAGGACGGGGTGGGGGGATGGAGAGAAGCATTGTTTTGTTATTCCACTCAGTTTTGCATTCATTGGTTGCTGCTTGTATGTACCCTGGCGGGAAATTGAACCCAGGACCTTGGCGTATCCAGACGGCGCTCTAACCAGCTGAGCTATCCCACCAGGGCTAGCAGCAGCCTTCCTAAAAAGCAGAGCTTTCCACCAGTTAGTTGGAGCATTGTCCCATAAATCAAAACGTCTTAGGTTCAGTTGCCAGTCAGGGCACATTCCTGGGTTGCAGGTTTGGTCCCCATTCAGGGCATGTGCGGGAGGTAACTGATCACTATTTCTGTCCTCTCTCTCCCCTTCCCCTTTCTCTGGTGACAGGGAAGCAGAGCTTTCCTAGGGATGTTTGGGTCTGAGTGATAAGGCAGGGAGACCCTGGGGCACAGTCCTCAGGTCAGCAGTAGCAGGAGGGGGGCCGATGTTTAACATTTGCCAATTTCCGTGGTGTAACCGCTCTCATTCTGGCTGATTTCAATCACTGTGCTGCCACCAGTTGTGGAGTTGGAAGGAGAATCCCAGTAACATACCGTAATCTTAGGCTATTTCCTCTATACAAAAACCTTAAGAACATAGAGAATAGTAAAATGTAGTAAAGTAATTGGTAAGTGGTAAGTTTTCAGTATTCATTACCATTGTTTTTAATATAATTTAATTGTAAGTTTATAAAATCCAAGTTTTAATAATGACCGTGTTTAACAACTGGCTCACCAAATTCCTAAACATTCAGAAATTGGCTCTGCAGAGCTGGTGTGAGCCAACTGTTGGTCGCGGTACTCTGGTCGCTCAGACCCCATGCACTGGGGTTGGGGCCCTCCCAGTCTTCTGCTCACTCTCTGTTCTCCTCCCTCAGATCCTCTCCTTCATCCTGCACACAGTTGTGCGGGGATTCATCCACTCTGCCATTGGGGGCCTGTACGCTGCAGTGTAAGTCCTGGTGGCCGTGGGGGGCCTGGTGATAGAGGGCAAGGGGATGACTGAAGGGAGGTTTGTGGTGGGACTGAGGTCCTGAGAGGGATCAGCCTGCCCTGTCATGTTCTTGCATCAAAAACAGGTGCCAGGGCTTCTGTAGGGTGTCTCAGGGGAAGGCCACACCGGGCAGGAGGGTCAGTGGGCAGAAAGTTGGGTGCCCGCAAGTCCCAGCACTTAACACGAAGTCACTTCTCCCAGCCAGAGGCAGTGCCCCTGTGCAGCTCATACTGCCTTGGGGGCTGCTGCTCCACTGAGCCCCGGGCTGCCTCTGCTCGCTCAGGGGAAGGGCAGGGCTGCGTTCTGGCTGCCCACAGCTCAGTGTTGGTGTTCAAATGACCCTCAGCAGGAGCAGGGACATACAAATAACTGAGCCCAGAATGTATCAAACAGTCCTCACCCAGAATCATTTCACTTTAAAAAAAAATTATTTTATTTATTTACTTATTTCTAGAGAGGTGTAGGGAGGGAAAGAGGGAGAAACATCACTGTGTGGTTGTCTCTCGAGTGCCGCCTGTTGGGGACCTGGCCTACAACCCAGGCATGAGCCCTGACTGGGACTCGAACCAGTGACCCTTTGGTTCTCAGGCTGGCACTCAGTCCACTGAGCAGCACCAGCCAGTGCTCACCTAGAATCTTGTACAGTCTGCCTCTACCCACAGCCTTCTCAGGTCTTGCCTAAAATAAAATCTGCCTCCTTTTCCAAGAGGCCATGTGTACATAAGGAATCACAGTGTTCGTCTTCCTTTGTGGCTTGGCTCAAAAGTTGGAACCCATGCCCCAGCAGTGTGTCTGTTAGTTGGAGCATTGTCCCATACACCAAAAGGTTGCAGGTTCGATTCCTGGTCAGGAGACACACACATAGGTTGCTGGTTCAGTCCCCTGTCAGGGATAGACACGGGATCTCTCTCCCTTCCTCTCTAAAATCAATAAATATATTCTTGGGTGAGGAATAGAAAAAAAAAGTTGGGGACTTCCAGCCAAGATGGAGATGTAGGTAGACACACTTCCTCCTCGCACAGCTAAAAAAAGGACAACAGCCCTGGCTGGTGTAGCTCAGTGGATTGAGTGCGGGCCTGCAAACCATGGGATCGAGGTTCAATTCCCAGTCAGAGCACATGCAGGGGACGAATGAGACGCAACCACACGTCGATGTTTCTCTCCCTCTCTCCTTCCCTTCCCCTCTAAAGATAAATAAATAAAATCTTTAAAAAATAAAAATAAAAACAAATAAACAAGTAAATAAAAAACAAAAGAAGGGCAACAGTAATTTAAAAGCGACCAGAACTGACAGAAAATTGAACTGTATGGAAGTCCAACAACCAAGGAGTTCAAGAAGACACACTCATCCAGACCGGTCGGAGGGGCGGAGACAGGAACGTTAAGAGGACACAGCAAGGCGATGGCCAGAGGAGCAGGGCAGGCAAGGCAACGGCTGGCGGACCCAGTGCTGGATTGTGGAGTGGGGTGTGTAAGGCTGCAGCTGACAAGACTGCGGCAGTGGCAGCTGGTGGAGGGCACGTAAACTGGGGGGCAGACCCGGGGAGTGAGGCACACCAAGCAACCCAGGGCTCCAGCGCCGGGAAATAAAGCCTCAAACCACTGATTGAAAACACCTGTGGGGGCAGAGGCGGCAGCGGGAGAGACTCCCAGCCTCACTGGAGAGTTTGTTGGGGAGACCCACCGGGTCCCAAGACATACACAAGCCCACCCACTGGGGAACCAGCCCCAGAAAGGCCCAGTTGGCTTGTGGGAAGCGGGGGAAGTGACTGAAATCCAGCAGAGTGGAGCCAGCGGCACTGTTTCCTCTCAGACCCCTCCCCCACATATAACCTCACAACCCAGTAGCATGGGCTGCTCCACCCTGGTAAACCCACCTAAGGCTCTGCCCCTCACTACATACTAGGTGTGTCAAGACAAACATGGCCCAAAAGAAAGAACAGATCAAAGCACCAGAAAAAAACACAACTAAGCAACAAAGAGATAGCCAGCCTATCAGATGCACAGTTCAAAGCACTGGTAATCAGGATGCTCACAGAATTGGTTGAATTTGTTCGAAAATTAGATGAAAAAACTAAGGCTATGCTAAGTGAAATAAAAATGTACAAGGAACAAATAGTGATGGGAAGGAAACTGGGATTCAAATCAAGGGAGTGGACCAGAAGGAAGAAACATCTAGCCAGAAAAGAATAAGAAACAAGAATTCAAAAAAATGAGGAGAGGCTTAGGAACCTCCAGGACATCTTTAAACGTTCCAACATCCAAATGATAGGGGTACCAGAAGGGGAAGAGGAACAGCCACAAGTGGAAAACTTATTTGAACAAATAATAAAGGAGAATTTCCCCAATCTGGCAAAGGAAATAGACTTCCAGGAAATCCAGGAAGCTCAGAGTCCCAAAGAAGTTGGACCCAAGAAGGAACACACCAAGGCACATCATCATTACATTAGCCAAGATTAAAATGGAGAGAATCCTGGAAGCAGCAAAAAATAAGGGGACATTGCGAACCAGGCAATCGCGGTTCGATTCCCAGTCAGGGCACATGCCTGGGTTGCAGGCTGGTTCCCTGCAGGCCATTTCCCAGCAGGGGATGCATGAAAGGCAACCATACATTGATGTTTCTCTCCCTCTCTTCTTCCCTTCCCCTGTAAAGATAAATTTTAAAAATTAAAAAAAAAAGATAAGGGGACGGTCACCTACAAAGGAGTTACCATCAAAATGTCAGTTGATTTCTCAAAAGAGACCTTACAGGCAAGAAGGGGCTGGAAAGAAGTATTCCAAGTCATGAAAGACAAGGACCTACATCCAAGATTGCTCTATCCAGCAAAGCTTTCATTTAGAATGGAAGGGCAGATAAAGTGCTTCTCAGATAAGACCAAGTTCAAGGAGTTCATCATCACAAGCCCTTATTATATGAAATGTTAAAGGGACTTACCTAAGAAAAAGAAGATAAAAAAGATGAACAGTGAAAGGACAGCAAACTCACAATTATTAACAACCACACCTAAAACAAAAGCAAACAATTGGAAGAAACAAACAAATGGACATCACATGGAGAGTTATCTACGGGAGTGGGAGGGGGAGAGAGGGGGAAAAGGTACAGAGAATAAGCATAGATGGTAGGTAGAAAATAGACGGGGGGGGTGGTTAAGACTAGTATGGGAAATGTAGAAGCCAAAGAACTTACATGTATGACCCATGGACATGAACTAAAGGGGGGAAATGCAGGTGGGAGGGGTTGAGCAGGGCAGAGGGGAGTGAAGGAGGGAAAATAGGATAACTAATAGCATAATCAATAAAACATTTTTAAAAAAAGTTGGAACCCAAATACCATCCCCTGTCTCTCTGACCACAGATCAGATTGTTCACTGCTGGGTTACCCTGCCCTCCTCTGGGGCCCTGAAGCCTGATGTTTTATAAGGTTTTGCCAGAACTCTGTCCCCCTCAACAGCACTGCACGAAGGTCATTCCAGGCCTGCACGTCCCCCACCCACTCAGGCCTGAGGAAGTTGCGGCTACCCTGGCGGGGTCTGAGGGAGGCTGCTGAAAGCTCTGATACTGCGTTTCCATGATTACACAATGCTCCTCTAGATGAGGGCACGGCAGAGCCAGGCCCAGCCTCCATCCTGCTCCCTGGGCCTGTTTCCCAAGCTGCAGATTTCTGCTGGCACCACACTTTCCACTCGGCTCAGCCAGACACCCACGAGCCCAGGACACACCTGCGCAGGGTGGGGTCCTCCCCAGAGTCTGGGGCCTCAGCTTGGTCCAGGAGAGAAATTCACTTTGTGCCCCTGCTCAGCAGAAAGCAATCTGAAGGCGGTTGCCCCCTATTCTCTGAGGCTCCTCCTGCCTCCTCTCTGGCACGGGCGCACCTGGGGCCAGGCTGGAGCCAAGGAGCATTTGGAAAGCCTGAGAGTGGCACCTTCGGTGACATGTTCTCTGTTGCCCTGGCAGGTACCCCTCCACCCAGTTTGGCAGCCTCACAGGACTACAGTCTTTGGTCAGTGCCCTCTTCGCTCTCCTGCAGCAGCCCCTGTTTCTGGCCATGATGGGTCCCCTCCAAGGAGATCCTCTGTGGGTAAGAAGGGCCAGGGGACAGTGGGTGACAGGCAGCTGCCCCGCTCTGCTAAGTGGGAGCTGAGAGGCATTTCTCTGGGGCTTCCAGAGCCCTGAGAACAAGCAGTTTGGGGACTTTGATTAAGATCAAATCAGGGTCCCCTTCTGAATGGTGGTGGGGCAGGAGGAGAAGTTTCCTTTCTAGACCTGATTTTGAGATAAATAGAATCTAGTCGCTGTCCCTGCCTCTCTGGAGATGCAGATCAGTAGGTCTGAGGTCAGGGTCTCGGGACAGTGGCGGAGGGCAGGCCCTGAGGGTTGCTGGGCAGCCTTCAGACAACTGGGGAATCTGGCACTGGAATGCGGCCCTCCAGCCTCTTGGACATTCCGGTTTCAGTTTTCCCTTTCCCTTCCTGTGGCCTCCCCTTCCCTGAACCTGAGTGCCAGGAAGGGTCTTGAATTGGACTCTGCAAAAGACTACAGCCCTGGTTCCCTGCCCCATGTGATGGCAACTTTCATCCCTGCCACCCCAGGTGAACGTGGGGCTGCTCGTCCTGAGCATGCTGGGGTTCTGCCTTCCCCTCTACCTCATCTGCTACCGGCGCCAGCTGGAGAGGCAGCTGCAGCAGAAGAGGGAGAACGACAAGCTTTTCCTCAAGCTCAACGGCTCATCCAACCAGGAGGCTTTCGTGTAGTGCCCACCACCTCAGAACTGTGGCATCCTGCTCCTGCTTTAGTGACTCACCAGTGTCCTCCCCACCCCAGAGGACCTCCATGCACCCCCAGGAACCTCTCCTTCACCATGTTGGAGTCCGTGCCCCCTCCCAGGGCCTTGGTCCTGCCTTGGAGCTCTGCTGTGGAAGTACAGGAGAGGGCCTGGATATGCGATTTTCCTACTGCTGGAAGCAGAGGCTGCCCTGGGCTTTGCCCAGCTACCTTGGAGGGGCTCTGGAGCCTTGAGGCTCCATGGTACCTGCAAGAGGAGCCAGGAGGATCCCCGATAGGCAGGCTCTGTTCCTCAAGCATCTAGATTCTGCCTCTTGCCAAAGCAGAGGGGTCTGCTATTCACTGTCTACCACCTACCCCACAGCTGCATGCCCACCAACCACGCCTGCCAGAGGACAAAGGTTTGCACTGTCTGCACCCACTCGCCTGGCCCCTCATCTCCTCCCGTGGTCAGTCTAAGGCTGCCTGAGGAAGGAAGGACCCGCTTCCTGTTGTTGGTGCTAACTCCTTTGTAATTCCAGCCCCATGTGGCCTGTCCCTAGCCTGTCCTCCCGTTAAAGGCCTGTGGGGATGCCCCCCTGGCTTAACAGCCTGGGGAGTGGCGGGAGGGCTGGATGGTCATACTAGGCTCAGGAGCTGGGGACTGAGGTGATCAGCAGTCCCTAACCTCTTTCCTCAGGACCTAAGTGGAGAGCAAGCTTCCACTGCCACCCTTCAGCCTGTGACCTGAAGGAAATGAAAGGGACACCAACAGGGCAGCCCGCGTACACACACACACAGACACACACACACACACACACACACACACACACACACACACACACACACCATTTTCGTGGGGGTGGAAGTGAGACTGGCTGATAGACATCGAAGTCTAGGCCTGATGGGGAGGTAGGTATGCGAAGGGTCTAGAGGTGTGTGCATGCGTGGGTGTGTACGTGTGACAGGGGTGTGGGCCCTGGGTATCTACACATTATCCCAGAGCTGCTCAGAGGACAGCCAGGCCTGCAGCAGGGGGAGGGCCCCCGGGGCCAGCGTGGTGGTCCCAAAGCTTATTGGAGGCTGTGGAGCTACGGCGCCCCCTGCTGGCAGACTGCCTGAGGGCCCTGGCGCTGTTTACATGGAAGCAGATGCCCTTCCTCTGCCAGACGGGCCTGATTTACCAATCCACCCACCAGGACTTACCCCGGAAATGGGTCTTGGACTTCCTGGGAGTGCAGAGAGAGCTGGGTGGATTTTTAGGTTTATGGTTTTATGGGGGGTTTTCGTTTTAAGTTTTATCAGACTCCTTTTTATAGAGCAATAAACCCATTTTCCTCCTGTTGAGAGTTGCCTCTGCCCGCCCATCAGTTAAGTCTACATGTGCCTGTTTTGAGCTTGAGGAGAAAAGGCAAGACAACTATAAAACTGTACACCTGCAACCTATATAATTTTATTAACCAGTGGCACCCCAATAAATTCAATTAAAAGTTAAAAAGAGGCAAGACTTCCTGACCCCGGTCCCTGTTGTACCTAGCTGCTGACAGTCTCTCTGGATGATTGCCAGCTTGGGAGAGGAAGGGCCAGGAAAAGAGCTCCCACCGCCCCTAAACAAATTGGGTTTGTGCCAGTATCTTCAAAGTGTGGGGCACCCCTCCTCTGCTGCTGCTGCCGCCAGCCAAACAGGCTGACTCTGACCCCTTTTTACCCCTGCTCAGATCTCCTGTCACTGGTCAACTCTCCTGAAGGTCCCTTCCTGAGTTCAAGAGGCAGGGCAGTTCCAGGAGAGCCTCCTGCTCAAAGAGGTGGAGGCAGAGAGCGGGGGTGGTGGACAACAGGAAGGGGCAGTGCCAGGCCCGCATTCCAGCTCTGCAGCAACAGCTGGGCACCTCGAACATGTCTGTCCTGCCTAGGCTTCAGTCCACTCAAATGTTAAAAATTTGTTTAAAGCACTTTTGGGGAATTTCTCTTAAGATTTTATTTGAGCCAAAACTGCCAACAATTGCCAGGAAGCAACATCTCAAATGCTTCTACATTTTTTAGATCAAAATTTCCCAAACCTTTCCTCCAAACACTAGTTTGTGAGGTTTAATGGTTATTCTAATTTTTAAAAAGGGTGTTATATTCAAATTTGGGAAATGCTGAGTTAAAATGAAGTGTTTTTTCATAACCGAGGACATTTTTATCACTTTCAGAGAGAAAAAACATCAGTTGGCTGCTTCCCATATACACCCGGGCCAGGGGTCAAATCCTCAACCTTTTGGTTATGGGTCAATGCACCAGCCAACTGAGCTGCGTTGGCCAGGGCCAAACGTGTTTCCTTGCAGCAAGCACTTGCAGCACTTCTCGGCATGCTCGTGGGTTTTGTGGCCACCCAAGAGGGCGTGAGATAGGCTGTGGATGAGTGGCTTTAAGAGAGAGCTGTCCCCGATGTGTGGCCCAGTGGAGTTCCTCAGTGCATGTTGATCATGTGGATTCCAGGTCTTGCCTCTGACCTAGAGGGAATCTGGAGCCTGTGTTTTGCTTAGTCCTTTCCCCAGAGTTTGAGACCACTGACAGAGGAGTACAATTTGGGGAAATGTGGACTGGCAGGGGCCCTTGTAGCTAGGAAAACATTGAGGTTACAGACAAGGCCTATGCCATCCTCAGCAGCACCCAAAGTAGGAGCTGTTGCCTCTGTACCACCCACCTGCAGGGTGTGGACACTTTATATGGAAAGAAGCAGGCATTGACAAAGGAGTTCAGGGTGGAAATCAGTCTAGGGCCTGCGGTGCATGGGAATTAGAGATATGAGAGTGGGAGCAGGGTACCAGATGGGCCAGCTACCGTCTGCACCCCCTTTTGGGGCCAGTGATTCTGCTCTGACTACAGAGTTGGTGGGTTACATATTTTCCTGTTAGTATCATTGAATTATGATAAATCCAAGAATTAAGATTACCATCATTTCTAGTCTACAGTTAGAAAAACTGAGGCCCAGGGAGGTGGAGTAATTCACTCAAGATTGGAACCAGGACTTGATGGGTCTTAACATCAATGGAGCCACCAAAGAAAGCCCAAGACCAGGACATTCCTTTTGGAGCCATAGCCCCAGGGGCCACCAGGCTTTGGGAGCCAGGAGGCCACAGCTTGAGGAAGAGAAGCAAACCCAGGCACCACTTTCTTGGAGCCAAGAGATTTCTCTGAAATGGTTTGACCTCTACTCAGTAGTCATCTTGGCTCTTGAGGCAGATGGATTCCTGCGGAAGCATTCTCTGGTCAGCCCAACCCTTGAGAGGAATGCTCTTACATGAGAAACGGCCCGTGGGCTGGTCCAAGGCAGCAGCACCCGGTGGCCACAGCCCTCCATCTTCCTTTGTCCTCAGGCTGCTGGTGGGAAGGGGCAGGAAGTGATGCCCGGCCAGCGGTTCCAGTCGGTGTGAGGAAGGGGGTGGGCCCGTCTTAGAAGCACCGACAGGATCCCCTCTCCCTCTAGTCCCCCTAGACTCAGGTCCACGAGTTCCTCTGTTGGCTTCCTCCAGATCTTCTGGCCTCTGCCTGCAGCTCCTGCTGCCTGGATGTGTACCAGGGAAGGTGCCAACACTCCTAAAGGCCACAGATAGGGCTGCAGGTGCCTTTCTGCTTTGCCCCATCTTTATTCCCCTCTTGTATGAATTATCAGCCTAGTCCAAACAACTTCTGCTAAGCCCGCCTCGTCCTGGCCTGGGGCTGCATGGTCTGTGGAGGGCCTCCCACTGCCCTGGGCCCCAAGGACACTGAAAACGGGGGATATCCAGTATTCAGGGTCCATGTGCAGGCCTGTCTCAGCAGCAGAAACATATTCAGCCCAGCAAAGTTTTTGATGTACTTATGTATCAGCCTGAGAGCAGAATTTGAGCAGATAAGCACGTGGGGTGGGTGGTGGGCGGCAGGGTCAGGTGGCCCACATCCTGTGGTTAGGGGCTTTAGTCGGAGCTCTAAGGCTTAGCAGGATTTTCAGGGTCTGGTTTGGCAACAGCGCCCTCTGGAGGATAATATATATGATGTGTTCTTAAGGGTACTTGGGGCAGTGAGACTCCTTATCTGTTCCAATCACCAGGGACTGGACTCAAGGGTGATGATAGCCCATTTTCCCCAATACAGATTGTGGGATTACAAGGCTAAGGAGCCTGGTACCCCAAAGTGAGGAGCTGGTTTTTCACACTGCAGCCCTCCCCTGAGCTGGGAGCCAGAGGGAGCAGGCGGGCTCTGTGAGCCCACTTGCTCCCATGTCCTAATTCACCCCAATCCCTGGAGCGAGGTTGGAGCTTGCCAAGTCTCAGCGAGGAGATGCTTCCCAGCATCTCCCAGCGGGTGGCCTGCCAGCATGGGGCTACCACCTGTGTTCCTTCATCTCTGTGGGCAGTGTGTCCACGGCTCTGAAGTGACTCACTTTCAGCCTCCCAGGTGGATCCCAGACTGCACCGGGGCCCCTGGCAGCTCCCAGCTCCACCACACAAACCACATCAATGACCTTAGGCAAGACTTGAGCCTCAATTTCCTTATCTGTAAAGTGGAGCTAATACCCTCACTATGAGGATGGATAAACACAGAGGTAAATCATTTGCACAGTAGTGTTCCTGGCACTTAATAGGCAGTTAACAAGTGACAGCATTATTTGTGTGACTCTGCAAGAGTACAGATGCCACAGGAAACGAGGGCCACTCCCACTCCTCTACTCCCTCCCCGCCCCGGTATAACGGGACCCCTACTTTAGGCAGCTCTGACCAGGGCAGACTTGTAGCCAAGTAAAGGAAGTGGGGTCTGTTTCTGCCGACCCTCACAGAACCTCTTTTTAAAGCAAAAAGCCTTAAGAAGTAGCCCTTTGTTCACTTTTCATGTCTTTCACATTTTGGTAAGAGACTTAGCCACAAAGCTTCTCCAGGCAATCTCTAAGTGGTAGAGACCCAGACATCAGACAGGTTTGCGTTGGGGTGGGGGTAACACAGGTCACAGCATGTGGGCAGCACCTCCAGACCACCTCCCTGTAAAGGGTTGGCTGTGCCTGTGTGCACAGGTGCGTGTGCGTGTGTGTGCATGCGTGAGTGCTTGTATTGAGGTATGATGTATTGCGAGCATGTTCGGGTGAGCGTATTTAGAGCAGTCTGTGTGTTTCTCTGCCTGGGTGGAGAAGAGGGAGAGGGTCTTACCTCACTCAGTCCCCTTGTGTTGCTGGAAAGACCGAGACAGGCCCTCTCCGAGGACCCAGAGCGGGCCATCAGAGCTGTGCCGGAAGGGTACACCTGTGCTCTGTGTTAACCAGGGTCAGTGCAGTGTCGCTGACAACCTGGTCGCTGACCCTGACTCTTCCTGCCCCTTTGCTCTTTCTAGCATCTGGCTTACTTCCTGGCACACCTAAGCACTCAATAAATGTATGCTGAGAACGACAAGAACTGCTTCCTCCTTAGCTCCTGTGTCTCTTTCTCCCAAAGCTGCACATTCCTTGTCCCTTGTCTCTTGCTCAGATTCCCTATAGCTTAACCCGAATCATGCTCTGTGGCCCCCACCCCTCCTTTGTGCTGTATCCACTGTGGCCCAGCTCTGCTGCTGTGGTCGGTTGAAGAGGTGGGGAAGGGGTCAGTAGGGGGCATCTTGGGTGGAAAGACAGGGCTGTTGGTGAGTTTTGGTACTAGGGGAGGGAGTGCATCCTTGCCCCTTCCCTAGTTCCCAAAAGAGAACTTTTGTCCTAAGGCAGTGGTCACTGGCATGACTGCAACTTCGTAGAATTCCCACAAAGCTGGCCACCCTCCCACCAAGGCCCCGGTCAATGGCAGCAGGAAGTGGGGACCAACTGCCCTCCCCCAGAGAAGCTCTAGGGAAAGCCCCACCACCGGGGAGGAGAGGGAGGTGGCCTGATTCAGACCTGGCCCCTGACACTGCTGGGGTGTAGGGGGCTTCAGGCCCAGGGGAGGGACGTGGATGGCCGTGGGGCCCAGCTGGGGAAGGGATAAGCAGTGACCCCCTTGCATGACAGCCAGGCAGAGAGATGCTAGATGGGTGTCCTACTTCTTAGGGCCACAAACTCAAAAGCTGGGGCGCTGCCACTTCCTTTGTTGTTACTTTTCATCTTCCTGTGTTTGAGCGAGACAGCACAAAGAAATATTTCTCTACTATAAGTAGAGCCACAGCGTGAGCTCTGTGCTGCTCCAGGGGCAGCTAGACCTTGACCTCTGTGCCAGGGACACATGAGAAATTGGTGGTGACTGTGGGGACCTGGAGGCCACAGCCCCCATCTCAGGGGACAGCCTTGACATAGCTCCATTCAATTATGGCCATGTGGGAAGGAGCCCAGTGTTGCCAGATCTTCTGATTTTTCTCAAGCTGGAAATCCTGCTTCTCCCTCTCTATAAAATACCGCTATTCTCAAATGTTGGCTTAAAACTATTTTTAGCCCTGGCTTGTGTGGCTCGGTGGATTGAGTGCTGGCCTGCGAACCAGTGGGTAGTTGGTTTGATTCCCAGTCGGGGCACATGCCTGGGTTGCGGGCGGTCCCCAGTGTGGGGCGTGTGTGGGGGCAACCGCACAATGATGTGTCTTTCCCTCTCTTTATCCCTCCCTTCCTGTCTCTCTAAAAATAAATAAATACAAATAAATATTTTTAAAGTATCACAGCCGCTCCAATGCTTTTTAACTCTATGCAGCCCCAACACCATCAGAATAGAGAGAGAGAAGTGGAGGCAAAGTGCCTCCTCACTTCTGGGTGCCCAAAGCACCTGCTGCCTTATTTCCTTGATTCCAGCAGGTGTTATATTTGTCTCACTTTAGAATGTGGCCCTACATGGGCTGGAACCTTTTTCTTTTAACTTGTGCCTCCCTCAGCCTGGTACGTAATGAATGCTATTGAGTTTGGCTTCTAGAGTGGCCCACAGCCCCTATTTGGGGACACAGATTTGTCAGGCAAAGCTGAACACAGAGGCAGCTCGCCCTCATGGGCGTGAGTCCCTGCCTGCGGCCTGGCCTGGCCAGCACACTTCTATGCCTGGTGGTACAAGCTGGGCAGCCGCGGTCACGTGTCTGTTTGCCTGGCGTCTCTCTCCACCAGAACAAATGGGCCTTGAGAGCTGGCACATGCTGTGTCTCTGTCACCGTGATACCTCCAGGGCCTCAAACGGTGCCTGGCATGGAACTGTCCCTCAATAATTGGAGGATGAAAACTTTTTTAAGATTTTATTTATTTTTAAAGAAAGGGGAAGGGAGGAAGAAAGAAACACCTATGTGAGAGAGAAACATGGATCAGTTGCCTCTCACATGCCCGTAAACGGGGACCTGGCCCACAACTCAGGTACGTGCCCTGACTGGGAATTGAACTAGCAACCTTTGGTTCGTAGACCAGCACTCAATCCACTGAGCCACACCAGCCAGGACAGAGGGTGAAATTTTTCAAAAGAGAGAGACAGAAATAAAATGAAAAGAGGCTGAAACAGGCTGAGACACAGGCTGGGAGAAGAGCATGTTTGCGGCAGCCAGGAAGGACAGAGCAGAAGATGGAAACAGTGAAACACAGTCTCCCCGAGATACCCAGAGATGGGTTACAGGTGTGCCTGTGACCAAGGCAGTAACTGGGGCCAGCCAGGAGGAACCATCCAGGGGCCGGGACCTTGAGATGGCACAGACACCAAGGCGAAGGTGAGAGAGAGACTCACCAAGACAGAACACAGAGCAGATGGGGAAAGGAGACAGCAGTGAAAGGAAGATGAAAGAGCCCCGGCCAGGTTCTTGTGTGTGTCCTGGCCAGGTTGATTCTAATCCTGAGACTCCAAGGTTGCTGGTTGGAACCCCCCAGCCAGGACACATCGAGAATCAACCAATGGCAGGTGTGGCTCGGTTGTTTGGAGCATCTTCCTGTAGTCGAAAGGTCGTGGGTTTGATTCCTGGTCAGGGCACATGTTTGATCGCTGGCCCAGTCCAGGGCGATCGTACAGGGAGTAACCAATTGACATTTCTGTCTGACATCATCAATGTTTCTCTCCTTTCCTCTCTCTCTAAAACCAATGGAAAATGTCCTCAGGTGAGGACAAAAAAAAAAAAAAAGCCCTCAGGTGAGGTTAAAAAAGTCAAAATCAACAGGTCAGGGCATAAATAAGTGGAATAACAAATCAATCTCTCTCAAAATCAATACAAAATGAAAAAGAAAGTCAAAGAAATACAGGCTGAAGATGCATCACCCAGAGTAGATCAGGTGGGGAAAGACAGGAAGAGAGTAAAGAGAGACGAAGAAATGAAAAGGAGAGATAACAAGAGGGAGATTAAACAGAAATACAGAAAAACAAAAGATAAAGGGAGGCAGAGAGGTGAGGTAAAGAGGGGAGACAGAGTGATCGTGACTAGAGCCGGAGCTGGAGGGACGGAGGCAGAGAAGACGGAGAAGTGCAGGCAGGGATGTAGGGAGGGAAGGAAACAGAGGGAGGCCCCGGAGAGGGAAAGATCACTGACAGTGGAGATTCACTTCTTTGTTTATTTCCCCCCGGATTTCTCCAAGGAGTGTAATTGGGCAGGCTAGGGGACATGGAGGCCCTGAATTTCAAAGAAGGCATTGAGCCTCTTGGTGCTAAAGCGGGACTTGTACTGGCCACGAAGGACCCAGTGGGGCAGTGGGAACTTGATCTTGGAGTCATGGAACTGCTTGACTGCTGGTTGGCAGCACTCGCGGGCCACGACCTCCTCCGCCTTCATATCTGGATTGAGTGGGCGCGGGCACGGTGCGGGGGGGGGGGCATGTCTCGGTAGCACTAGGTGACAGGCACCTGCGGTGCTCAGCTCCCGGTTCATGTTGTGAGTCCCACTGCGGGAGTCGTAGCACAACCAGATACCGAAGTTCTTCACCCGAAGGACGGGTTTTTCAAACACCTGCCCACAGCAGACGATTTCTCCTGAAGATTTCTTCATCTTCTTCCATTGAGACACAAAGTACCCGAAGCGGGACTTGGCAACAACGTGGTTAGGTGCAAAGATGCGCAAGCAGTAGAGGGCCGGTGTGCGGCGCTTCAGGGTGGGCAGGCAGCGCCCCACCACCTTGAACTCTCCCAGCGCCAGACCTTCAAAGCGTTCTCTCTGCGTTCGCCCCCACCCGCCAACGGCGGAGATTAACTTCTTTTCCCCCCTTTAAGCCTGGAGCATGTAGAAATGGCTTTGAGGGGCAGCAATGTCCATCCGCCCCCCCCCCGCACAACGCCTCTGCCCCCAACAATAGCAGCATGGAATGTGCCACACACTGCACAAAATTTCTTTAGGCCTCAAAGCAGGCACAATCGTTCCATTTTGCCAATGAAGAAGCTGACGCAGAACAGAGAGGTTCGGTAGCTTGCACCAAGTCACACAGGTGACAAGTGGCAGGCCTGGGACTTCAGGGCACCGGGCGCCAGGGGTTCTCTTCCCACAGCGGGGCTGTTGGTTCACAGTGGGGGCCGGTGGAAGAGCGCTGTGGCCCCTGCGTATAAGAGCTAACGCCTGTGCACACCTGGAGCAAAGCTTGCTAGACGTAAAAACAGACGTCTTGCCTAGTAGCTCAATTGTTTAGAGCGTCGTTCTGATACTCCAAGGTTGTGGGCTCGATTCCTGAGCAAATCAATGTTTTTCTCTCTCAAATCAGTTTTTTAAAAAGTTGATACATGGGAAGCACTTAGAGTAATGCCTGGTGCATAGTATGTGCTCAATAAATGTTAGCTTTTATTATAATTTCTTTCTGGTGGGTAAGGGATGTCAATTAATCCATTATGCTCATATCAAATATAAAACCATTCTCAGTGGTGTTTGCATATCACCTTTCATTTTAGCCTGTGGAAAAAAGATGTAAATTATTTCAGAGACATGTACATACTTTAAAATACTGAGTTTATTGTAAAAATCAGCATGGTGTTTTCTGGTGGTGTCGACCCGAGGAGTCCAGCACTTGCACGTAAAGTCAGCTGTTATTAATATGATTTTTTGACAACCCTTTCCTGGATCTCTACCAACCCCACTGGGGAGACCCAAGCGTGCGGGCACATCTGCTCCGGCTGTAGAACTGTCACCCCTCCGACCCCTCCCAACCCCGCCCCCGCCCCCCGCGCCCGGCGTCTGCTCCGCCCACCGGCGGGCTCCCAGGTGGGCCCCAGCCCCCTCGCCACGCCGACGCCGCGGCCCGTTTAAGGACCGGAGGGGACGGACGGAGGAGACTCCGCCTCCGCGCTGAGGTCAGCGCGCACCGCTGCGTGTGACGCTCTGGTTGCCGCAGAGACGCCCCGCCCCCGCGCGGTGCTGCGGAACCGGAGCTCCGGGCGGTGTCGGCAGGGGCGCGGGAGGCGGTGAGGCCAGGGCGCAGGAGCCGGCGCAGCGACCGCAGCGAGAGCGGCGGGGACGGAGCGGACCACGACGAAGACGCACAGGCAGCCGGGCCGGGCCGGGCCACGGGGAGAGCG